GACACTCACACACACATACAGAGACACACACAGACACTCACACACACAGATGCACACACACATACACAGACACTCACACACACATACACAGACACACACACACACAGACACTCACACACACACACAGACACTCACACACACATACACAGACACTCACACACACACACACACAGACACTCACACACACATACACAGACACTCACACACACACACACACACAGACACTCACATACACACACACAGACACTCACACACACATACACAGACACTCACACACACAGACACTCACACACACATACACAGACACTCACACACAGACACACACACACACAGACACTCACACACACACACACACACAGACACTCACACACACACACACAGACACTCACACACACAGACACTGACACACATACACAGACACTCACACACACACACACACACAGACACTCACACACACTGTCTCCTGGGCAGGTATCTCTGCTCCCACACAGAATAGCCATAGTGGATCAGTTGCTGGGATATCGCTGAAGGAATCCAAGCTGCTATGAGTTGCCCCCGGTTTCACACAGACCTTACTAAGGGCCCTTCTGCCACTGCTACTCCTCCCAATGCACCACCCATGGTGCGTCGTGGCCGTCCTTTGAAGCTCACGTAGAAAGTCCTTAGGGGGCCACTCAACTCCCACCCTCGGAGGGCAAGGACTCGCTCTCGCAGACAGCAACCCCCAAGATTAAAGGCTATCTGGGCTGGGGGGGATCGCGTGCGTAGTGGGCCCCCACGTTCCTCACCGGGCCCCCGCCATGTGTCTGAGGTGTCAGGCAACAGGGGAAGAAGCTCAGACCGGCATCGTGTCCAAAAAGCCTCTGCGTCGACTCGATCGGAAACGACCCAGGGCTTTAGCAGAGAGTGGGGGACGGGGGGGAGCGATCTGTGTGTATGTGTTCGGGGGGGGGGGGATGCTTGGTTGATGACATCGAATAGAGGAACAGGGAAGAGTGGGAAATGGGAGCCCGGGGCCGGAGTTTCCACGGCAGAGCTGCACTCGCACGCTAGCGTGACGTCAGAAGGCCTCATCTACATAAAGCTCCATCCCGCTGTACCTTCATGACGGGCCGAGAGGATTCCCAGCCGCTGGGGTGGGGCGGCGTTCAAGGAAAATTGGTTGCACTCTCTCCAAAGAGAGTTAGGGGTGTAACACTGAGGCAGAGGGCTTGATAATTCACACTGGACAGTGTTATTTACTAACGACTGTAAGCTCACCGTTTTATAAAGTTATTTTCCCAAACGTGATAAAAGCACCTCATTTTCCATTACGATGACCTCATGTATTCATTAGATAGTAATTCGGAGCTCCCGGGGTCAACTAGTGTCGTTTATAAGGTCACCATGGTGCGGCTGAACTGGGTCGGACCGACTTACAATACAAATCCTGCTGCATCACTGTTGTTGAATCCTCTAGCGAATCTGGCAAAAAACAAAAAAAAAAAAAATGACTTGTATAAAAAAAAAGAACAACCCGTTAAAGTATCTGGAAAGCAAATAAAAATACACAAACACAAACTCATAACTGTCTGAAAAATAAGCTTGGGAAGACTGCTTCTGATTCAGCTGCGACAGAGTGGAAATAGACACCACACAGCCTAGTGCCTTCTCCAAAGTCTGCTGTGAAACATCACAGACCGAGCTTCTGCAAATCCTCTGGGGTCTTTGATTCGTTCAGAAACACAGCGTTGCCATGTCAGTCTGACCTTGTAACTATTGTTGCATGAGGAGCAATCAGCATAATGTTATGTAGGCGATTAAAATGAAATGACGTAGAGGAATGATTTACTATAGAAATGTGTGGAGCCCATTGCCACCATTGGGTAACCTTACAGCACAGTCAGCAGTGAAGGTCACATGACCTACATTTTACAGGCTGGTTTTACAGGACTGTCTTGACTGGCAGCATCGAAGAGCGGGTTTGACACACCATGACACATTAACCACAAAGTTCGACTGCCTCAGTTGCTGCTGGGCATCAGCAAATTAATATCAACTGGTTTTAATGGCAAATCTGAATGTTTTCATCTGATATTCCTAAGGTATAAATTTAAACACAATTAAAGTGCATAAAAGTGGTTCGTACTCTATGCAGTATAGGCAAAAATATATGTACAGTATGGCTGTCTTATAGATTGTTTATTTGCTATTGTACTGTTTATTTAGCGCAGTTACCCAAGCCGGGCTGACCTGTTTAAGTGGACACATCTGTGCCTTACTAACCAATACATCGGGATTTAAATGAAGCCCAAAGTTCACATTTATTCTTTCCCTCTGGGCCAATTAACTTATAAAGTGGAGCTGTTTGGCCCACCGTCCTCAGCCTTTTTTATAAGTAATGTTTCTAGGAAAGACTTTCTTCTGTAACGACTTAATAAGAAACTAATGGAAATCTTGTTTTAAAGCCCCCTCAATCATTCTTCTCCCCCTGAAAGAATTACCATAAAAAGGAAAAAACTGAAAACGTCCAAAAAATAATGATCTCCACCCTCGCCTCTGCGAGCCCCCCCTCACTCGTAGCCACCGGTGGTGAGAGGTTGACTGAGGAGGAAAATGGCAACGGACGGAACATTGTAAAGGGGCTTTGGGGGGGGGGGGTAGTAGTGTGGGGTGTGTATTGAGGGGAAAATTCAATAACTCATAATATCAACCTCTCAACCTTCTCTACCCTCCCGTCCTCCATGACACCAGACATATCCTTCCCTGCTCTGCCTGCCCCCTCAGCAGCCCGTCTGCCCAGTGGTGACCCCTGTGGTGAACCACTCTCTGGTTCTGTTTACAAGGGCCAAAACTTCAACGGCAGACAACAGGCCAATTACCGTGGACCTGCGCTCTCCAGCCTGACAGAAACCTCCGCATGCAAAAGTCACTGGTTCTGCTTAGAGCACTGAGGGGTTTGCCCTCATCCCAGAAGGACACAAGGTTCACTGTGACCCAGCACCAGATAGGCAGTTAGGAAAGATGGTAGGTAAGATGTTTCTAGAATCTGTTATGTCATTTAACCATAAGCAAGACATCTACATCTACATAATGTAATAACATCAGTTTATCTCCCAATCACTTGTCCAGAGGGGGCTTGGAGCCTATCCCAGGAAACACAGCAGATGTATACATGTTAGACAGGGTGCCAGGCCACAGGAGGAAAGCAGAGAACCCAGAGGAAATGTGATGTTAAGATTCGAACCCCCAACCCTGGAGGTGGGAAGCAAAAGTATAGCCTACTCAGCCAGACGTTAAATGAAGATGCAGTTGTGCAATTGTGTTTAATTAGTTACTTTATTTGTTTTACTAACCAATGCAGAGATAAACAGTAAATAAATGTAAAGAAATGGATGGGCTGTGAGACTGGGTTCCAGTGCAATAAGAGGACCGTGTCCTTGGAGACGATGACACAGAAAAGTGCCTCTTCCTTCGGCCACTTCTACGGAGACTGACCTGAACACGACTGGGAAACTATTTACATTTTCAGCCATTAGCAATCAGCCCAATTTTTTTTTCTGCTGCCAGATTTAGTTAAAGAAAACTCTCATTCATGCAGTATTTATAGCTTCTGTTTGGTCTCCAGTTGCTGTCTTTATTATTGTTTCATTATAAATGGAAACAGAAAACCAGCCAAAGAAAACCATACTCCGTATGAAAACCATACTCCGTATGAAAACCATACTCCACAACCCATCTATGTCCGGCACATGCAGCATGGATGCGATGCCATTGGGTGGCGCCACGGCTGATCCAAGATGGCTCCATTGCAAAGTCTGAGTAGGAGCAGCAGTTGCCAAATTCACGCTGCCCAGTCATAGGTGGTGCCACATGCAGACATATGTGCAAACACACACACACACACGGATACCGATGTTTGTATTCATATCTTTGTGGGGACTGTTAATTTCTTTGGGCATAATCCTAATCCCAATATGAGGACCTTAACCCCTATCCAGCCCTAACCTTAACTTCAAGTAACCAAACAAAATACAAGACTTGATGGAAAAATGGTCTCCACAACATCCAAAAAACAGGTTTTTATTACATTGTGGGGGACATTTGGTCCCCACAATGTAATATAAACCTAATCCACACACACACACACACACACACAAAACAATGAGCATCCTGAAAAGCCATGTTCAGTCTGGATCAAGTAAAACTGTCACAATGGTTTAAATACATTTAATAGGTTAGCAGTGGTAGTTAGTCTGGTTTCCTGTAGTATAATTTTGGTCTTTTTGATAGATGTACTGGCTAGTACTCTGCTGGTTGCAAAGCCCATCACAACCACAAGAAGGACCTTCAAACTAGAGTCCATGCTTTCACAGGTAATCTTCTATACATCAATGAATGGGACTGAAGGGACTCAGATGTCAGATGTATGTAAGGAATGTATCTCTAAAGCTTGATGCAAAAATGAAAAAAGAAAAAAAAAACTAAGCTGGTGGAATAAGCCCTAAGACTTTGTTTTTCATTTGCTTTCGGAAGAGTTTGCTTGCTGTGTACCTGCGTCTTGCAAAACGGCTAACATTGCAGAACGAAAACCACGCAAGGTACAGGTGAAATGTGCACCCCCGCTCCCAAAACGTCTCCCTCTCGCCTCATCTGGCACTCCGCCACCCCCCATTCTCGGAGTCTGGGGTACAGAGGGAGTCACATCCAAAGCAGACAGAGTTTCCACCGTTGATGAGGATTGCAGATGGAGGGGGGGGGACAGAGGAAACAGATTAGTATTTATAGAAACATGAGGAATGTGAGCCCCATGGTCTATCACTGCCAGCATAATCTGTTCAAGATTATGGTCCTGTCTTGTAACAGCGGCTTGCTAAGGGCAAAATGAATGGAAAAGAGATGGGCTCGTGACAAAAGCCGAAAGACACCAACAACCTTTTCCTCTTTTAAAGTACAAAGTGGGGATATTGGGGAGAAAGGCTTTTCCAGCAGGCCATGCGCATGTGCACACACAAAGCAGACAAAGGTGCCCTGTCTGTGGGATGGAGGACCACCCAAGAGATGGAAGTCCTTGTTGTTTTGAAGGGTCACATGGGAAGCATATTTGCCTCTGGTCTAAGAAACCCAAGCAGCACCCTCCCAGAGAGGGTCTTCAGGATATTTAAGGTTAGATGTTGAACCAAGGTGGCAAGTCCTCCCTGGTCTTTACACACCCAGAGAAATCCCAGAGTTTCTGCTTCAAACCACCCCCCATCCCCCCACCCCTAAGGGTCTTCTGCAGGTATAATCCCATAGCCACGTTCCTGGATTCAGACCTTCCTGGGCCACTGGGTGCACAATGGAAGAGAAATTTGTTGGGGCTTCTGACCTATCTGATGTTATCTGCTTTAGCCTTTCCTGCCCATCTGGGTGTGCATCCACCACCATGATTTGGAGCCAGCATCAGAAAGGACAGGCCTGGATGAGATGCCACTGTGACACAGGATAAAGAATATTAAGGTGGATTTATATCGCTGAATCACTGCTGATAAGGGCCAGAAATCTCAACATAGTACAGACTGGTGATCACAATCAAGAATGTGAGGTTCTGGAAAACAAATTAGCATTTGATTGGAAGAGGGTGAGTGGAGAACTCACAACGACTATTTTTCTGAAAAAAGATTCAGACGTGGCATTCAAGAGAAATACAGCTAATTGTCTGTGAATAGAACAAAAGTCTCTGTTGATGATGTGCATTAAACCAGGAGAAAGCCATCACACGTAATATCCTGTACATAGAACACATTCAAGCCCTTCAGGGACTGTTTCCTCAAAACCACGTGGGCTCATCCACAAACTTTTGGCTGTATTGACAGGATTAAGGGGGAAAATATTGGTTACTATCTTCCTAAAAGAAGAGTACTGGGATGAGATAACACTCAAATAAAATAGTCCAAAATAGAATGGGTCTTGAAAACTAGTACTGCATTACTTGTTCCTGTTAGTTTAGCAGGACTTTTGATAGTTTATTAGTGCCAGTTAAACCACACAGCCTTAGACCCCTAACATTCAAAGGTGATGATGTATTTGACAGCCATACTGATTTTCTAGAGCCTGTCAGAAAGTGCGTTACTCCTGAAACCGCTATGGGAAACACATGCAACCACCAATCAAGGTTTTTGCATTTGCTGCATGGGGGGGAAGCAAAGGGCCTAGATCATCTGTAACCTTTGTCGCATCTGTACCACACAAGACAGACAGGAAGTGGTTTGAGGGGCCATTTCCTGTTTACCTTTGTGAACCAGCCCTTCAGTTCTGAGAACAGCCAAAAAAAAACAAAATGACCTGACAAGGATTATTATTCCTTCTTGTTCTTTATTTGAAGGGCCTCTCATATAATTTTAATAGGAATAATCAAAAACAAATGTAGACCATATTTTTATAGTATGAAATGATTGTGCTGTAATTTTTAATGATTTCTTTGCTGTGTTTCTCTCCCACCCCGC